TTTTCTAAGAAGTTTTTTTAGTTCTTTTTTAAATGATCTTCTATTTTTGGTGACTGAGCTGCAGATGGTATTTTATAAATGCATTCCCTATATGTTAGAATTTTGGAATTGCAATAATTCCAATTAAGGCCCTTACCTAGTTGTAGCTATTAACTTTTTCTATTTTAATATTATTAATCTAAGTTGCCTTGATTACTTTTTTCAAAAGCCATTTAAGCTTACAAAAAAAATTTGGTGGTCAGCGACCAAAGAAAACAAAAATAATATTTCACTGGGTTGTATTATGAAACTTTATTGTTATATATGCATATGCGAACGTAATATTATAATGTTATATTTATACGAACGTATGTTCGACTAAATTTGCCTTACCGTTTATAATGCTAAGAGAATAACGGTCTCAGATATAGACTCAAGTGTATGTTTTTTGAACAGCATCGAATTCTGATTCGATTTAGCTTTGTCTGTCCGTCCGTCCGTCCCAACGATAACTCAAAAACTAATTGAGCTAAGTTCACTAAATTTTCACAAATGATTTATTGTAGTAAGTACCAGAACCCCATTTAAATTGGACATGATCGGATTACTGGTTCGGATAGCTGCCATACAACTTAAAAAGTTATTTTACCATATCCTAGAAACTATGAAAGCTGTGGTACTGAAATTTTCCACAAGCGAATATATATTATTAGCGCCAATGTGTTTGATAAAAATCATTGAAATTGCTTTGCTCTTTCTGGTAGCTGCAATACAACCTCAATAGTAGTTTGGCAATTTCTTAGAAAATATTGAAAATAAGTACTGAAATATCAGTTAAATTAATTTGATAATATGGCAACTTAAAGTCATTGTCTGTCCCCTAGTCTATATCATATTTATTCGCACATAGCATTACAAATTCACAGAGTTGACACGGTCAACTCTATTTTTTCCGCTTTTTTTTTTATTTATTTTTTTTTTCTTTTGGCAGAAGTATTAAAAAAATCAAAATTTTTATTAGAACAATTACAAAAAAATCAACCTCAAGAAAATCACTTAAAAAAACCAGTTGCAAAAATAACTTAAAAAAATCGCTTAAAAAATCCCTAGCACAGCTGAAAAAGATAAAACCCCAGCTTCTACCATGAGAACATTACGAACAAATCAAGAAAATCACTCAAAAAAGCCAGTCATAAAAAAATTATTTGAAAATGTTACTCAAAAAGTCACTTCAAAAAATCCTTTAAAAAAAGCACTCAAAAAAATCGCTCAAAAAAAGTCAACCAAACCTTCCCGACGAAGAGCTGTGTTAAAAAAAACCCCAGCTTTCTACGTTAAGTCATTTTCATGTTAGAGCGATTCTAAAATGTCATCAAAAGTGTGACAAACAAACAAAGCTAACATACAACATTGGGCGGTTATTGTTATTAATTTAAGGCCAAGGTTTATGTGATCTTGTCCTTTTATTATTTTTTATTAAGCAGTGTTAATAGTTAATCTATTTTTTATTTAAGTTCTATTTATTTTTTTAATTCTCAGACAACTATTCTAGACTGCACATTGAATTGCCAAATCATCAGCATACATAAATATTCTGTATAAATCAAGATAAGCTTATGGATTAATGTCTTGCTTCATTGACATAGAAAATTGGCAAGTAAAGTGGGTTTAAGTGAACTTCCTTGAGTCATGCCGTAATAAATGTTCTCATTCTTACTTTCGAGGGTTTCCAATCAGCAAACTTATATGATCACTTATGTGAGAAAAACTATTTTTATTATTAACTGTTAATATTTTATTTTATACTTAATGTTGTATTTTATTAAATTACATTATATGTACTACAATGTCGTCTTAATTTACTATATAATTTCGATTCAAATCTATTCAAAAGCCTTCGCTTTTCCGCTGTCGTGCTCCGATCCCGTATACAGGGATTTATCCGAACTGGTACCGCAGAATATGATAGCCCTCCTTAATGGTATCTACGTTAAGGTCATCGATACCTCTTCGGAGAACCTTCCCCTTCCTGTCCTCCCGCTGCCCAATCAACTTTCAAACCCGGGTGTGAATGAATTCCTGTGTTCTGGCCTTGGAACATCTTCAGCGTTTTTTCTCATTCTGGGCTTCTGCTTTTGGGGAGGAAAAAAGTAGATTATGCACAGCTTGAGGATGTCATCTCCCTTACTTGAAGCAAGGAAGCCAATTCTGGTCCGCTCCAAAGACTTTCGTCTGTGTTTACCTCCCTAAGACGATGGAGGTGTGTCTCGAATGGGCCTCGTTCTTTCTTTAGCCGTTTTCGTGGCCTTTCTTCCATTTTCCAAAACGCAAATACCATCTGACACCAGCTCCGCTGAGTCCCGGCCTCTATCGATCATCTAAGCCCCAAGGTTGTCTCAGAGACGGCAGCTGGGGAGGTTTCCTCGTCTCAGCCCCGCGATGCATCGCGGAAGTTTTGCTTCCCGCGGCGGTCGCTTCGCAATTGTTCAGAGTTTCCTCCGACTACATTTAACGCCATTCTGCTTTTTCTCATTTGCAAGGTAGTAACGAATGTTAGTCTCCATCTCCATTCCAAGTTTATGTTTTTTGTTTTGTTCGGTTTCTCCGGAACTGTGACGGTGTTTTCCCGTCTTGTTGATTAATATGTTATTTGATGTTGTTTTATATATACTTCCAGAATACCAAGCATCCGAACTTTAGGAAAAATCTAATTTTTCCCTTTTTTAATTTTTTTAGCTTTCTCCAACTCGATGACTTCGAACGAAATTTCGCAATATTCGGACGCCATCAAATTTTCAACATAAATGACAACAGAATCCTCCTAGTATTTTCTAATAAAACGTAATGTCTTAGTTGCTGAGATTCACGATTATATCTAGCTTTATCAGTAGGATCACGCATTTGTCCACCTCTTTCTCGCCAGCCTGCTTTGTCTTACTTTTGCTATTATATTTGGATGGTAGTTAATGCCATCCCTTCTAATAGCGTTAATTTTCGAACTACTCTAAGCCACATTTTGAATGATTTTAGTAAAATATTCGGCCTCCTCAACTATCTGCTGGATCGTTCTTATTCTTTTCCTTAGATCTATTTGTCGTTCAATCTCTAAACGAAATCTTAACCAATCTGTAGTTCCATTTGTCAGCGCAGGTTTCGCTCTTTTCATTACAATATTTTCGTTAAGTTTAAGAATAACCACCAAATGATCAAAGTTAAAATTATAGTTATCATGTACCTCAATGATATTTTTCGCAATCCGTTTTGTTCTGATGAAATCTATTAAATTTGGACACTGATTTATTTTGGTTGGCCAATACGTTGGCTTCGCAATAGAATGAAAAAGGCACCCCGTGCCGCCAATTGCTGTCCTAAGTCCTCTTACTCTGGTTGAAATATGCCTTGAACCCCAATCAGTGTGCTTGGCGTTAAAGTTACCCCCCAATATAAATCTATAGCCTAGGTCGGCCAGAACGTTTCAAAACATTTCTGCCGTTGTTCTAAATCTGGGGTGACAATATAATGCAGCCTCTCTAAATTTTCGCTTAGTTGAAGTGGTCTAAACCGACATCATTTGTATTGCTCCGGCTTGAATCTGATGCAGATCACAATGTACTATATTTTCTTTTATGATTATCGCCGTTCCGCCTTTCGTTATATTTCCAGGGTGGTTAGAGTTGTAAATTTTATAACCCCAAAATTCAATCCCGCTTCTTAAAGTCATATGTGTTTCAGTTACGAGGCACTGGTCAATATTCTGTGTACGTAAAAAGACTTCAAGCATGTCCTTTTTATTTGCAATACCATTGTTATTCCATGTTGTTATTTTAAAATTACCTCGTGCCATCATTTATCAGGTTTTATAGTATTCAATTTTCATCTCTCGCTCTCCAAAATGCTCAACCTCTAAGAGATTTTGTCCATCATATCTAGCATGTTTTGCACCATATTTTGTACTTTATACAAAACATTCACGTCAGTAGCCCTTACTTTATTGCTCGTGTTACTGTCATCGGTTTTCGTTTGGAGAACATCTTTGTATGTTACATCTTTTGATAACTATTCTCGAAATGAATTGGCTCGGTGGTCGTCAGAATTTTTCTAGAAATTATTTTTGTTGTTGTTATTCCTACATTTTTGCAGTTCCTTAGCTACAAGGCATCCCCTATAGTTTGAGTAGGCCTCCAAACAATTAGGACACTTTGCTGCAGTTATATATATTAAAAAATTTTTCTCCTCGAATTGGACTCGAACCAGTGAGCTATCACTAGCAATAAGACAATTTTTTATTAAAATTTTTTTAATATGTATATTTCTGCCTTAGCTCGTTGCTTTGATTACGCCCCACATTCTGCAGTTGTATGAAGAAGTGTCTATTAGTTAAATTATGAACAACTAAACGTTTTATCAGTAATTATAGTAACATCGTTAGTGTAATAGGTGCAATACCTATTAATATGTTCTTGTGATTGTGTATTTCAAATAAAAGATTGCATTTAGCATCACATGCAAACAATACCTTGAAAGCATGTGGATTACAATATAAAGCAATGTTAAGAACAGGTCAGCAATTTCTTCATACTATTTAGCTCGGTCGGCAGAGGTCACTGATTCGAGTCCAGTTTGAGGGGAAGCATTTTTTAATAAAACGCGTTACCATTCATTACGACATCCACCTGCTCTGCAGTTGTATGAAAAAATTTCCCTTAGTTTTTCTTATATATTTATCTCTACTATTCATATGCATCTAGACAAAATGCGACCGAAATAAATGCACATACATATGTATGCTTTTATTATCAAAAAAATGAATTGTTAAAGTCAATGAAGCATTTGTTATTTTTTCATGCATGTGTTATGTTTATATATATACATATGTATAGTTTTTTCATACATATACATAGTTTTCCCCATATTTATTTTATGTGTTTATTTAATAATAAATTTTTTGAAAGAAATTGTATATAATATATATGTACATAAAAATGACTTTTCTTCAAAATCACCGCACGAAATTTGTACAGCGCAAATTCTATAAAATATGATAATATTTTCAACGAGGACGAAATGTTGACAAACGGGAATCCACATAGAGGTACATTACTAAGTGATGCAGTTTCAATAGAAAATGTAGATACTACACCAAATCGAACTGAGCTTGCTATTGGGAATGAGAAAAAACAATTCTCAATGCGAGAATATGACGAAAAAAAGCCTAAAATTAATATTGCACCACATAAAAATTCCTCATCACCATTGCAAGTAACAAATGCATTAAATCAAGAATCAAAAAATTCTTTAAAAGCTTGTAATGAAATCGATGTATTGGATACACGCGAAATGAAAGAGGCACCGGCTTCTTCTCAGGTAATATTAGATGTAAAAATGATCTTATATTTTTCTATCTAAATAGCATTAAATTTTAGATGAATTTGGGATATTTTTAAATAAAGGTTAAAGATAAAGTAGATTTTTATAATATATAAATATCATATTACTAAAATCTAAAGTAATATATATGTAGTTTAAAATGAAAAAATAGTTAAATTCACTTTATTCTTGATGCAACAGCAAGTAAAGAAAAATAAATTAAATATGTACATACAATAACATGTAAAAGGATACGTGATAATAGCAAAGATAATAATAATTTACAAAAATTAAACTACTGAAATTCTAATTTGAAAATATACAATAAGTGCAACCCGAAGAAGAAAAAAAACATTTAAACATATGAAGATAGTAGAATCAAAACCCATACATTTGCAGATTAATAAGTTTTGAGTAACATGGAAAAAACGTTTTGTGGGTAATTCAGCGCTCATATTTCAAATTATATTATTTATACTCGTTAAAAAAATTAGCTTAAGCCTTTCTGCAAAGAAATATTAAAGATAAACAAGACATTTTGAACAAAAAACGTAACTTAAGAAAGCAAACGTGTGGTTTTGTTGCAATTATATTCAAGTATTGGGTTTTGTTAATGTCAATTTGTCAATTTTGTCAATTTTATTTAAATTAAACAATAAATTAAATTTTGGTTATGGTATGTAAATGTAAAAAATTGTAACTTTTTCGAATGTTGTAAAATATTATAAATTTGTCCTGAACTTGTTTTATAAAAAAGAAAGACAGGACCTTATTTAGTTAAGTGTAGAGGAAGAGCGGGTAATGTCGTATACCGTTTTTATTTTTATGATTTTCTCGGCAACCGCAGTATATTTCTAGTTCGGATAAAGTCATTTACCTTCGTTGGAATATGCTTTTTAAAACTGTGTTGGAAAAATTCTCAATCTTCTAAACATAAGACCAGTATTAAAAAAAAATAAAGGAAAAATCCCAAATTTCCTATTTGAAAATTTGGCAGGTATTGTGGTATACCTTATTGGGTAATGTAGTACACTATACCAAATTATCGGAACTAATTTAATTATCCGAAATTATAATAAAGTTATTCTGACGTAGTAAATTAAAAAGTTCTATATTTCTCATATGACTATAGTGTTCATCTAATATTAATAAAATAGTTTCATTTTGTGCTGGTTTTGCAAATTTCAAAAAATGCTGAAACCACTTTGTAAAAATTGGTGTTTTCACCCATCCAGAACTATGATATGCTGCCTTTCATTCTACTGGAGCGTTATTCATGAATAATGGATTTGCATTTTTTCTTGGAAAAATAAAATATGGAGGTAATAATTTTTCTCCAGTACTCATACAACTTATGACAGACACCAGAGTATCCATAATATTTAACTAGCTTGTTTTCAGTTTCTACGCCAAAAACTGGATTCCTACACAGAAAAGGGACAAATATTTCATTTATTGTTTTTGAGCTCCGTGCATAATTTTGGAAAGTAGTATGAGGCACTCCATATGTTTTTGAAGCCAATAAAATGCCCATATCTCCATTACGAACTGCTTCTATTGCTTTTCGCATAGAAATCTGGTCATTAGTTCTTACTTTCATTCCCTTTTTAGGCACTGTTACGTTAACGTAAAGCTTAAAATTAAAATTAGATATGTGCTGCTAATGCAGTGTAGTATACCAAAATACCCTCATTAAGATATACCACATTACCCGACAGGGTTCATTTTTTCAAATTAAAAAAAAAATATTTTTATACTTTTTATAAATGAATTATTATAACATAATTTTACACATCAAAATTCAAACTAAAATTAATAAATTTAAACTGCATCCAGTTCCGCACGAGGACAAATTTCGACTGAACAAAAATTTTGATTTGCCTGTAAAAAAAAGTCAACATTTCAAAAAAACAAAAAAAGTTATGCTACTTCCAAAGTAAAATGAAATTCAACATAATTAGACAAGATTCACTTTATTCAATTGTTAAGCTGTAAATTCTGTTTAAACAGATAATTGTTACACGTTCAGTATAAGAAATAAGTTGGTATCCCACATTACCCGCCTATACGATATTACCCGCACTTACTCTAGCAGAATTATAAATGAGTAAGTTTTCTGTAGTAAACAAAGCTTAATATGTAGTTTATTTTACAGCATAATCTACAACTATTGAAAGTACTACAACGTTACATGAAAAATATTATAATTTTGTAAGTGTTTTTAAGTCATCAGTACTTTGCCAACAGGATCATTGAGTAATGAGCAATTTATGTTTAAAAACTTAAAATAGTATAAACATTTGAAAGTACACAAGTTATTTTATTAATTTGCTAAAGCCATAAAATGGCTATGTCAATTAATACTACGTTTCATAATGAAAATATATTAATGTCAAATTTTAAATTTACAAATAATGTATTTTGAAACAACATTTTACGTTTGCTTGGATTACTACAATCCAAGCAAACATGTGGTTTTGTTACAAAAAATTTTTTTTGTTGCAAATAAAGATTTTTGATACATTTAATTACACTCAAATGTTGAGTTTTGATTTTACTATGACTTTTTAATCTGTTTTTTTAGTGAAATAGCAAGGTTTAACAAACATGTTTATGATAGCAAAATGTGTATTTTCACAAGTGGAATAAAACCTTATCATTAGTTTAATCTTTTCAAATTTTGCAAATACATATATTATATTAAAAAAAATGCTATAGAAATGAACAATTTCAAAAAATTTACTAAAAACAAAATTTCGTCGAATAAGAAGCAGAAAGCATTAAGTCAGGAAACTGTGTTTTGAGTAAATTTAATTTGAAAAAATCGTAAAATTGTGAAACTAATCAATTAGTGCAATGGGATTGGTCTCTTTAATTTCTGGATTTATAAACTATATTCTGGATTTGCATGATTTTTTGCCACAACAAAGATTATATTATTCTGATTTAATTTATCTATGAAATCCAAATTCTCAAAAAATGCACTTAGTGTTTTCTGCCTTTTAACCGACGATTTGAGATCAGTGCAAAAATTTACTTAAATTTTTATAAAATACGTACACGTAACAGTCTCTCTAAGTTTACATGACCCATATCCAAAAGCCACTTCTTGATATTAATTAAAAGCTTTTATAGAATTCTAAGATTTTAAGTACAAACCGACAAATTATTAAACATATGGGGTGCTATAACATCCTCAAGGGAGTGCGAAAGGTAGATCATTCTACAACGTAATATGTTAACTAGATTAATAAAGTTAATTCTAAGTTTTTAAAAGCCAGGACATTGAACACTCGAATAACCTAATCACGCGAAAAAAATTAGTTGTGATCAGCACATAACTGACCGCAATGTATTAACATATTACATCATCATTCTCATATTACACTTAATAAGAACAGTCGTGTTTTTTTTACGGTTTGTAACAATAAAGTAAGAATAATAATTACTAAAATTTAACTTTTCAACTAAATAATACAGAAAACAATGAAAGCAAAAACAATAACTAACTCATTTAGTATAGTATAATAATATATTATACAGTTATAATAGTATTACTCATGATTTTATAACAAAATTTTATTTTTATTTTTTAGTCTACCTAAACCGCTTAGTGCTCATATGTGTTTTGTAAAAAAAATTTTTGTAGAACAAAAGTGAAAAATAAGGAAAAGTTGTTCTTGAATCTTTTTTCTTGTTTTTTGCAAACGTGAATATTGTACTACCTAAATTAAATAATACGTAGCTTATTATAATTAAAAAAAGAAGAAAAAATAATAAAAAAAAAAAAAATAATTATAATAACTCTTTCTGAAGTTGCCATATCACTTAAACTATATTGTAATTAAAAATATTCTACTAAATGATCTTAACCGCTTCTACGGGTGATGTTCAAGTAATAACCTAAAAATCAGTGTAAGTAAATGTGCACAAACGTGCTACTTTAGGCAAAGACGGCCATTTTTAACAAGTCATACTTTGAATGTCCAAGCTCTTAGTCAAGTTGATTCAATAATGGACCTGGGTGTTTGCTTCGATATCAAGTTATCATTCACAAACAACTACAATCATATCATATGCAGATCAAACTCGATGTTAGGGTTCATTATTATCGCTAATTTTTGAGGTGCGCCTTCTTTCTTAGGAAGGCCCCATAATTCATTCACCTTAGGAACACAGACTAAAATTAATTGACTTACACACACTGGGCGAGAGACGTGATGTTGCGGATTTGGTATTAATTTTTCAGCTTATGATAATGGACTTAATCTCTTCCGACATTTTAAATAAAATTGTGACTAACTCTAACTTTAGATCTCGTTACCCTGAACTTTTCATGGTTTATTTTCATAGGACTAATTATAGAAAACATGAACCTGTCAGCAGAATCCTGCGTTTATGCTATAAACACAAACACATACTTGATTTTTCACTGACCAAACACATGAAGAAAAATCTCCTATTTACATATATGACATCTGATTATTACCCATTTTTATTTTAACAAATTCTTGTTTTAGTTTTTCATTGTATATATTTCATATTTAATAGAGTATTAGTACGAATAAGTTGGATTTTGTATAATTTTTAAATTTAATTTTTAAGTCAAAATTTGTTACTGTCTAAAAAAACAGTGTATGTAAGTTAACGAGGGATCAAATAGCGGGCATGTTAAAACAAGTTCAAACATGTTTCATCAGACATATTTCATCGTGAGAATTCTTCTACGCTGAATATTAATATTAAAACATGTTCAAATACGTTTCCAGCAAACATCATATTTCAGCATGAGAATTTCTTAACGCAAAAATATGTTCCCACAAAAAGTGCTGACGACATGTCTACGCTGTACTGTGAGAAATTTTTAGTTAGGAAAATAACATAAAATTAAATTTGCTAAATAAGCAAATTTTATACTATAAATTAGGTAACATTTAGATTAAGAATTTAGTCTTAGATAGTCTTAGACATTAATTGAACTAAGCATTAAAGTCTTA